TACAGTAATACCCCGAACTTACGCGATAGGTGGGACCGAGCGGTAACCGCGTAAGTCGGGGTATAATTTCGCATATAAATACATACAAATAATTTTTAATTGGGGCCGGAGACTAAAGAAAACAAAAATTTAGAAAAAAATGTTTAATAAAATCTTAGATAATACATATGTGTAACAAATTAGGCCTATATTATTTTACAATTTTTCACATTTACTTGATTATTACGCCATAATTTTAACACTCCCACACGACGGAGTTGACCGCTCGGCTGTCGGAAAACTCCTCACCCCAATCGGCTAACCTCACACACAATACGTGTATGCTGATTGGATACCGCAAGCTTTCGATATAATCTGGGAACCTATTCTGAATAGTATCGTTAAGCTAACGAATACAATAAAAACCAGTTTTTATCGGAACCACGTGATTCGCGTTTAATCAATCGTGAACATGCTATTCCGAGCCGTACGTTTCGTTTTCGGTTCCGATAGTCACGTGCGATAACTAAGCTTTTGTTATCGGTCACTCTCAACCTGCCGTTAGGAATGTAACGAAAGTGAAAACAGCGTGGCGTCCTTTGGTGTACGAATGATTTTACTTTACGAGCAATTGGAGAGAGAGTTAATAAACTATGTTGTTGTATTGCTTAAAAATAATTACCTTAACTATTTGTGAATATTGTATGAATAATGTAATTGCTATATTGTTAAAATTTAAAGCAAGTAGCTATATCATTAACATTATTTCTGAAATAGGTTTCATTCGCATATGTATAAATTAAAATGATAGTCATATATTTATATTCTAAGCTCTCAGTTACTTTTCGCCATCTTTCTGTGTCTTTTTGTGAACCGACTCCATCGGAATTCAGACGGTCGACTATTTCTTGTCACAATTTCTGGCGATCTTTTACGGCAAAGAAAGCGTTTAACTTCCCTAACATTAATTTAGAGTTGTCTTCTATAAAATTAACGAGCATCTCGAACTGGCGACTTGTAGTTCGCTGGCTTCGTTGGCCTTTCTTCGACATTTTAAAACAAAACTATTTCACTAGAGCTGGTACGCGACAATGCTAAAACCACGTGCTTCACTTAGAAAATAGCGGGTTGCAGTCACGTGACAAAAATACAATGCTAACTAAACTGTGATTAGTTAAAGCGTAACAGCTATCGATAGCGTGGAACCCAGACACATCTCGACCGACTACCCGTAGCGAAATCCACTTAACGTGAAGCACAGAATAGCGATTTGTCTAAGGTTCGTTAACTAAGGTTTCTCTTTCGTTAAGGGGACTTATCGAATATCCCGTGTGTCGCTCTCGTTGAGTTATCAGAAGAGCTCAGAATAGGTCCCCTGGCCCGANTTCATCTAGGGATATTTAAAGAAAAATGAAGATGCAGCTTGTTACTCGCCTTTTTAATTTTGCAAGATCCAGTTTGTGTATGAGAAGATTATATACTACACATATAATATATAGCTGTTTACAAACTCAATTAAAAGTGCCATGCAAATATTCTAATTTGACCTTCAAGATTGTAATGAAACAACATTATGCTACATATTTAGAAAATCAAGAGTTGAATACTGTTTTATTATCACATGGACTGACTGAAGAAGAATTAGATGACATGTGGAAAACCAAATCTCAACTATTGAACTATCCAGTTACACATTGGAATAACACAATTGAAATATTAAATAAACATGGATTTTCAATAAATGACATCAAAAATATTTTAATGACTGTACCTAGCATTTTGGAAATTAAACCAAATGATTTAAATAATACAATTAACAAGTGGAGAGAGCAAAAATTAGGTGAAAAAAAATTATTAATGATTATTAATAACACTCCTTGGTTGTTGTTATTAAAAGATAAATATATAGATGAAAGAGTAAAAGATATTTACAAGATGTTTACAAATTTGGATAGACATAAATTATTAGAAATATGTCCTTTAATATTTATTGAAGATTGGAATAGTATACTTGAAAAAATTCAATATATACAAGAAGCTATGGGATTTACTCAGATGCAGATCGTAAAAGGAAAGTGTTTAGAACATACTTTATTACATATTAAAACTAGGCATATGTGTGCCGTTATGTGTGGAAAATTTAAAAGATTATCTCCAAAGAAAAATATCTTAACTAATATTTCATTGAAAAAGATTGCTGATACAACAAATAGAGATTTTGCAAAAATTTGTGGAATATCATTAGAAGAATACTATGTATTTTGTGATATTATGAAGGAATTAGATTTAGATGAAAACTCAGATGATGATGTATGAGTATAAAATTATTTTAATTTGAAATAAATTAGAACGTGAAAAATATACAGTACTGTATTAATTATTAGAATGTAGTTTAATGAACTATTTCACAGTTTTGTTTAATTTCAACTGTAAATATAAATGTGTCCTATTATAAGCAACAATCCATTAAATTACCTAAAAGAATCTTAGAACAATTAAATATTTTCATGCTAATTCATATTCAAGAAAAAATCCAATCTGAAATTGAAATAAAATTTTATTCTAATTTTACAATTTTAGATTAAGCTTACTCCTGAAGATGAAGTTTGAAGTTACAGAAGCAGTAGAACATTTTGAACTTTATCTTTAGTGAGGTACTTTTCCTAAGTTACTGAGTTTTAGCACCTTTTCAATGATTTTATTACAAAAAAGTAAAAATTATTATCTTAATAATAAAAAGTCTGTTCTCCAAATATTTTAAACAACAGTTCACTTTTCAACATTTCAATGTTTAAAATATTTTTTTCTAGTCTTTTATTGTAAATTTCAAAGACTAATTTACAATAATTATCATTCCAAACAATCAATCAATGAATGTGGTTTGTCTGATGAAACATGCATCATAAAAAATTGTGCAATGCCAGAAAATATTGAAGTATAAAATCCTTAATAATTTATAATAAAATTCAGCTATTTTTGTTTAAAAATACTTTTTACTCTGCCCAGTATATGTTAAGAAGACAATTGTGAGTTTGGCCAGACCCACAATGAGGCAGCTGGGGTTGAAGTACAGACCACCTTTGAAAGTTTCTGACTTTTCAGTCTGATTGGATTCACTCCCAGACTTTCCATAGTGGTAGGTTGATGCCTTAACTACTTCATCCATCCATCTTGCCAGCAATACTTCCTATTGAAGACAGCTGGTAAAGGTATCAGCCTACATCTGGGGACATGTGAACAACTACAGGAATTTTCATGGACAGTCTGACCTGAGGCAGTTGGCAACACAGCACTTATCCACTGTCCCCAACTTATGTGATGTCAGGACTGAGGCTAACTCACTTTTTGGGTCGACATGCATCCGTTCGGATGTTCAACTCATTGTGCACCCCGACCACTGCTTCCACAGTCAGCGTAACTTTAACCCTTGTATATTGCTTTGTAAAATAAGCTTGTGGCAACAACCATTGGACTCTTTTGTCTGTCCTGGAATCATTCATTCGCCACCACGACAATCCTCTTCGTGGATGTAATCCACGAGCAGAATTGTCGGCATTGACCGACATAGCCGATTTTCATTCTCAAGAGGTACGCCTTAGTGGCCTCCTCAGTCCCTTACCACTCAGTTATGTTTCTGATTAAACCCATGAGGAGTATGGAAAAAGGCTTTAAATATGTCTACAGGGCAGAGAGAAAATCTTATTAAAATTATTCTAAAGTTGTTAATTAATATACAGTGATAACCAGTCAGTTTTGTGAGTTTGTTGTTGGTTTTTCTTTCTCCACAGATGGTGCTGCTTCATAACACAATGAATTATTATTTATGATTAATTTTTATTGTAATCCAAAGTAGGATTGTTCAGCGGATTTAAAATATTAAGAGATGATATTATTATTACGAGTTAAGCCGCAGTTCAAGCAACTTCGAAGCCTACGTATTCCTCAACTGCACCCTCCAAAACCAAGCCTAATTTAACGTGATTAAACACTTTCCCTTTTGTTTTCCTTACACATACGGGTGGGAGGTAGAAAATCTCTCTTGCTTTCATTTTATTTTGTGTTGATCTCAGCTTTCACTTAAAACGCATTCTTTTCGCGCATACTTTTGTAATAAAATAGGCCTTTGCGTAAAACTATCTTCCTACGTAAAACTATCTTGAAAGAATAGACCTATAAATTTCCACTTTCATCCATCTGTCTTTCCTTAATCTCGAGAACAGAGTTAGATAGATCGTACTTGTATCATAGAGATCATATGTGGAAAGAATGGTGCAGGAAGCCCCGATTAGCTGTATACGAACTTCAGATGCAAACCGAAAGTCGCCTGATTTCAATTCAAAAATTTTTCCCAGAACGGAGTTACATAAATGGGTTTGTTTCTTTGTTATCGGGACTACTAATTTGAGGTGGAGAGCATATATTTTAAATTTAAAAAAATTAAAAATATGATTAAAAATTGCAACCAGGCATTGTTAGTTATTTAAATAGATTGCTAGTGAATAATTGTAAATATTTTTAAGTTTGAGATATTTATTTGTTCTTTCATTAATTGCTTCAGCTTTAGTGAGAGAAGAATTATTGTTTTCTTACAAGAACTAATAGGAGAATATATACAATTTAGCCTAAAATCAGGTCCATACGCAGGATTTTTTACAAAATACTGGAAATGGCAAAAATAAACAGTTTATTTATTTTAATTCTAAAATAGATAATTGACGCGAAACAAAGATATAAAAACTTGTTTTTATTATTTTTACGTATTTCTGCTCGTGAGACGAGATGACGCCAAAATCATGTGACAGCTGCAGCCAATTATCGTGATTATTAAATCGGTGATATTATATTGGCTTGTTAATAAAATTGCTTTATTCAAAGATTGATTCTACAGTCAAATATTAAAAACAGGCAAAACCGAAAACAGCCCGAAAATCGGAGATGTCTAGTCACCCCATCTTAGTGCCAACGAAGAGAGGAGTTAAAAAAACTGCAAGTACTGTCAGGGCTGTGGAGTCGGAGTCGGAGTCATCAAAAAATCTCCTTTTTACTTCCCAACTTGTAATGTATGTAAAACGGAAAAGTATTGAAATCGTGTCAAATTTGACCTTCCAAGTTTCTTTTGCAAATCTATATGTTTGGAGACCTCCCGAAACCCTCAAATTTGGATAGACATAAATTATTAGAAATATGTCCTTTAATATTTATTGAAGATTGGAATAGTATACTTGAAAAAATTCAATATATACAAGAAGCNATATAATCATTGTAGCTCTAACTATATACAATCCTGTCAAAAATTTTGGAGTAATTATTGTTGTAAATCAAATCAACATTTCAGGTGTAATAAGATGTTATTTATATGCACAAAAAAATTGACAATTTATTTAATAAAACAGTTACATTAGTTGCTTTTTATTAGTCCAAAATTCATTAGGCTATAAGAAATACAGTATAAGAATTAAGTTAAGTAGTCATGCTGCTGCTTACTGTATGGATGTGTTGCTAGTTACATTCCAGACCTCCATTTGATCTTTGTGTCCAGAACTGTTAACTTACAAGTTAGACATAAGCATACTGATTACTCACTATGCTGACTAGAGACGACTCAGCATCCACAACCTATAACTCCCTCTTTGGCACTCAGCCAGCTATTGCTTTACCCTGGCATGGTGGGTATATAAAGGTTGGAGTTAGGCTGCAGAAGACAATCAGGATAAAGCTCTTAATATAATATATTTTTTTCAATCATCTATGTTTAAAAAACTAAGTTTGATTTAAGAATTTATTTTAGATATTTAGTTTAATAATTTAATTACAGGGTTTCTGGAAAACTTAAATTGCTATTACAATAGAATTTTTTTCCTTAAATATATGCTTTTAACTTATATTTAATACAATATACCTCTTTTAATCAGTGATGCACTCAGGATTTAATCTTGGACGAGCTAAGTGAACTGATAAAAAAAATTTTTAATTCAAACTCAATAAAATCTTCCTTATGTGACCACTAATTCATAAGTAATGTAGAAATAGAAGACACCATGCAATATAAATAAAAAATGAATTTTAATTAGGAAAATATACTGGTTATTTTTCCTTGGGATATTAGGCCCCTTGGCCTCCTTGCTGCTTTTAATGTACCTGTTCTCAATCCAAACATATTGATTTTAAATGTGATTAATTTGAAATAGTTCTAAATTATTTTTGTTGGTTACTTTATTTGATATGCAGTAAAACCTGTCTATGGCGACCACCCACGGTTCCTACAAAAAGTGGTCTTTTATACAGGTGGTCATCCAATACAGGTGTTGCTGTAATACCGTATTTCCGTACGTATTTTGCGCACTTTTTAGCCATTTCTATTAAGCAAAACTCGAGATGAGAAAAAAATAAGCAAATTTTTTCAACGATAGGGCTATATTGGTATTGTATTTTATTATCGGATAACCCGATTTACAGGAGTCGTAATGATATTATAAGACAGATTTAACACCAATACTTTNCGCATGCTAAGTAAGCCCAGAGAATTCTTCCCTGCGACTACTGTATATTCTTGGTTATAAGGAACACCTTTTTCATACTTTTCGAGACTGTTAACTGCTATACTGTACTTTTAGACCGACTGATTGATGTGTAGTAGAAGAAAATTTGTACAAATAAATTTTCTGTCGAAATGCCATTATGTTTCTATTTGTACAAAGTATAGGTACTACATTAATTAATACATTTTATTACAGAGTAGTTTCAAGTAGTGAGCTGTCTAAAACAGGTTTTTTTTGACATAGGACAGCATTTTTTAAATTAAGGGTCGCGACCATTCGAGGGATGTAGTAAAAATTTTAGGTCACAAAAATTGGAAAAAATTAGGTTTATGCATATGAAATTTACTAATTTTTTATTTAAACCTAATTTTTTTTATTAAAACCTAATGGTTTATGAAAAATGTTATATATTTGTTAATGTTTGATATGTTGAAATTGTATGAAAAAAACCTAGATTTTAGATTATGCCTATTCAGAATATGTTTTGCACCAGTGCATATTCTAACGTGCAAATGCACACAAAGTGCGTAATGGGAATTTCGAGTTGTGCAATGGGAATTCCATATTTGTGCAGTAATTAATTGTCCAATTCTGGATTTTATAAGTATTTCTTTCTTCTAGTTATATTAAAGTTAAAATATTTACCTAAATTACAGAGTATGCGGTAAATCCTGTCTAAAACAGAACCCGAATAAAGGAAACAAGCCTAAACAGAAAAAAAAAATTATTCGAAACGGAACGATTTTCTATGTTAAAAAAGAACCTGTTCAAAATGGAAACCTGGCAAACTGGAAAAAATATTCAGTACCATGCGATTCTGCTTTACACGGGTTTTGCTGTATATTTTATTCAGTCCACAAAAATAATCCAGAACCACAGCGTACGTATCGTATAGTAAATTATATCACATGCATGCTCACACTGCACTTGTCTAGCGACTAAAGTAAAAATATTTTTGCTCTGAGATCCTAAGAGGGCCTTTATTTCATTTATATTATAGATTTGTCCAGGCAGTCGGATGGCCAAACACATACAACCTCTTCGATATTTAGTTTAATTTTTATACGTTTTCACTATATTAACGTATGATTTTAAATAATTCATGCTCAATAATATAAATACAGTATGCGTACTTCTTCACGTCATGAATTCATAATACGTTACTATACAAAAATATCGGTTTAAAATTCTATTCAGAATTTTAAAAATAAAATGTAATTATTTTATAATTATAAAAACATTACATAAATTTGATGTTATATTATTAACTTTGTGAGAATAATGAAATTTTATATAATTATGTCTAAAAATTATATAAACGTAACAGTTGGCAACAGTGTTCCAACTGAACTGATGGTGAGACGGTCGTATAGTAAGTTACAAGAATAATAACCATGATTATTTGGAAATTGTTAGGAAATTCAGGTAAAAAATTGAATGGTTTTAATTTTAAAGCTTATAAACATCCAATTTTGTGTGTTGTATTTTTCTACTTTAGGATTAAACATGTTTATCCAGCCTACTTCCAGGCGCGATCCACTAAGACCATCGCATTTTATTATTTATCCCACGTGACTATGCTGGCTTTGAATTGCTCACTTAATTGTTCGTGGAGTATTTGATCTTATATAATTTTAGGGGTATTGGGACTCGTCTTGAGTAGATGCCGAGGTACTCGCGGCTACGTACGGAGCATCTGTCGAGGCAAGTGAAAGCGCGCCTTGACTGATACGGAGTGTGAAGGATAGTCAGAAGTACTGGTTCAATTTAAAAACTGTTTTTGGTCATTAGAAGTTAATGCGTTTA